GTAGTTCTTAGTCGTCTCCTCAGTGCCCAGCAAGGAGCAGTGCTCTCTGGATGTCGTTGAGTGAATATTGAGTATATAGACCACGTTTCTGATCTCACTTGACTGGCAGGGAGCACAGCGGGGGGAGGCTGCCACTCTGGGGTTTTGGGTCCAGCAATCCATGTTTTAAGGTTTCCAGGTTACTCTGATGAATGTTAAAATTTGAGAACCACTGGTCTGGCCCAATTCCATCATTTTGCAGATGAGGAAAATGAGATACAGAAAAATAAAAGATGTGACTGCCTGACATCACACACTGGCCGTAGCGGGATCTGACCCAGACGTATGAATTACTAAGAGATTGGGCCACACAGCCCAAACCAAGGTACCACCAGTGGCAGCTACCTTCATTGCAGGTGTGGTGTCAGGAAGAAATGATAAATCTTCACAGGGTTAACTCTGCAAAGCCATCCCAAGTCACTCAATTTCCTAAGTATTTGCTGTAGGCTGGGCCCTGTGCTAATCTCAGAAGTAATGGTATAGATATTGCTGGAAACCATGATGGACAGCATATTTTGTAAAAAAATGTTTTAGCCATTGAAAGCTTTCTGTATGAGTTAGGGCCCAGCCAGGAAACAGAAATTAAATTAGTGATTTGATTAGGGAAATTTTCATATAAAGAATTATTACCTAGTAAAGGGTGGTTAACTATTAAAGCCACACTGCTTATGACCGCTGACCAGTTTCCTCTGGGTATTTCCTCCACTCTTGATTTCCTCATTAGCTTGCTTCCTCCCTCTCCGATCATTCTTTCCTGAGGTCCTTTCCTTCACATCTCCCATAAGTTCTTTATGCAATTTCATCCACATCCTTAATTTAATAATAAATATGGATGAGCAACTCAGAAAGCAAGCCTCTCAACTGAGCTACGGACCTGGGCATCCCATGGACTCTGTCTGGACAACAGGAACACAAGACGCCCTCTTGTATCCTCTCTTGGTCTGGGGTAGGGGACATTGTCTCAGACTCCTCTCCCTTTCTCACCCCACATGCATTCAGCAACAACGTCTAACACACCAAGTCTCTGAAATCCATCTGCAACACCCATCCTCCAGACCCTCTGCCTTTCTTCAAATCCTCATCAGACTCCGCCTGGACCACCAAGTCTTCTAATGCCCACCTGCCTTCCTCCAATCCTGCCAGTGGGGGACGCTCTAAAACCCAGTTGTGAGCACAATTACTCCTGACCACCAGACACTTAAAACCATTTGTGGTTCCCCATGGCTCAGAGAACAAAATGCAGACTCTCAGGATGACACGCAAGCCCTCCAGCCCCATCTCATCCTGCTGCCCACCTCTGCTCCCTCTGTTTCAGCCAGACACTTCCCTCAGCCTCTCAGCCCTCCTGGCCATTTCGAACCCAGGACCATCAGTCTGGCTACCTTACAACACTGCTTACCTTTTAGGACAAGGCTCAAGTAGTCACCTCTTTATGTAGTCATTTCTTTAAAACGAATTACACACACACGTGCGCATGCACACACACACACACACACACACACACACACACACACACACACCCCAATTATTGAGCTCATAAGGAAGGGTGATTTCAAAATATTGACCAATGGTAAAGCATGGGCACCCACCTATCAGAACAAATGCTGGCCCTGGGGCTGGAACAGAGTCTTTGTAGGCCCCTTCTTATGCCAGCATATTAACCTATTAGTTGCTGGATTGTTGAAGAGGTCTAGTGGTCCACAGGGAGGGCACTCAGGGAGCTCAGGGCAGCAGCTATTTACCAGGCAGCACAGAAGTATTTCAATCTCTTAACCTCTGGTGTGGTTGCACATGTGCAAGCCCTGGAGCTCTTACCATGTGCCAGATGCTGTGCTAAACTAAACCCTCTCCATCTACTACATTATTCAGCCCTCTCGACCATGCTGTGAGGTAACATCATCATCACCATCATCACCACAACCACCATCATCATCACCACTATCATCATCTCCACCATCACCACCACCATCATCACCACAACCACCATCATCATCATCACCACTATCATCTTCATAACCACAACCACCATCATCATCACTATCATCACCTCCACCATCATCACCACCACCATCACCATTATCATCTCCATCACCACCACCACCATTGTCATCATCACCACTATCATCACCTCCATCATCACCACCACCACCATCATCATCACCACTATCATCACCTCCACCATCATCACCATCACCATCACCACCACCATCACCATTATCATCATCTCCATCATCACCACCACCATCATCACCATCATCATCCCCATCACCATCATCACCATTATCATCATCTCCATCACCACCACCACCGTCATCACCATTATCTTCATCATCACCACCACCACCATCATCATCATCATCTCCATCACCACCATCACCACCACCACAACCATCACCATCATCATCACCATTATCATCTTCATCACCACCACCATCGTCATCACCATTATCATCCCCATCATCACCACCACCACCACCACCATCACCACCACCACCACCATTACCATTATCATTTCCATCACCACCACCATCACCATCATCATCACCATTATCATCTTCATCATCACCACCACCATCGTCATCACCATTATCATCCCCATCATCACCACCACCACCACCACCATCACCACCACCACCACCATTACCATTTCCATCACCACCACCATCACCATCATCATCACCATTATCATCCCCATCATCACCACCACCACCACCACCATCATTATCATCTCCATCACCACCACCACCACTATCGTCATCACCATTATCATTTCCATCACCACCACCACCGCCATCATCATTGTCACCATCTCCAACAGCATCATCACTATTCTCAGTGTCTTGCCCAAGGTCACCTGGTAAGTGGTTGGAGCAGTCTCCTCACCAGTGTGCTGGCAGTCCTGCGTGGAGTCTCACTGCAGCCTCTTCTCCTGGTGCTTAGGTCTGCAGTTTAAACTACAACTTGTGCCTATTCTTTGTTCAAAGGGTGGGACAACATGTTGCCTGAAGTTCCTGATCACTCATGGAAGCATTCCAAGGGACTTCCTGCAGGCCTTTACAAACCTAACTACCTCCAGACCAATCTTGGCACAACTGGCCACTGCCTCCTCTTGCCCCATTATACCTGGCTGTAGCACTTATAATTCCTTATGACACCTACCAACTTACATGACTGTCACCCCCACTGCACTGTAGGCCCTTCAAGGATAGCATCCAGTCCTATGCATCTTTGATTCACTGATGCTTAGAAAAATGTCTGGCTATGGGCTCAATAAATGTTTGTTGAATTAATAAATGAGCAGACACATGAACATGACTGAACTGTAATTATCTGGGGTAAGACCTTTCTCTAACTGCCCCACCATCAGGAATATGTGAACTTATAATACATTCCTTGTATTTTCACCACTTGAATGTATATTTCATTATTTATCCGACACTTGCAGATATTTTCAACTATATTGAATGAGAATCTATTAAACCACTTCATACCTGAGATTAGAGACTGCAGAAATGACGGCAGGAGGAAGAACCTAAAGCAACCAATGGCCTGAGAAGAAACTAGAATTTAATCTCCATGCCATGGGAGTTTATGTTGCTCAGCACCCTCCCCAAATGGGGGTTAAAATAGTTATTAAAGGGCCGGCCCGGTGGTGCACTCGGTAGAGTGCGGCGCTTGGGAGCGCAGCAGCACTCCCGCCGAGGGTTCGGATCCCATGTAGAGACCGGTCCGCTCACTGGTTGAGCGCGGTGCGGGCGCGACACCAAGGGTTGCGATCCCGTTGCCAGTCGCGACACCAAGGGTTGCGATCCCGTTACCGGTCACGAAAAAAGACAAAAGGGAAAAAAAATAGTTATTAAAGTATACATATCAACTCTTAGGCTTTAAAATAAAAATAAAATGATTGAAAAATAAAATGACTTATTTGGAAATAGAAATGACTTTAAAATACAAATAGAAATTATTTAAAGGGCCCATCCTGACTTGCAAACTGCTCTGGAAAAAATATCGAGCTGATCAGCATCCTGATGATGCTGCCTCAAGGACCCAGAACAATGACTGACACAAGCTCAGACACGAGGGGCCCTCCAGCCAGAAGGCAGGGTTATGAAGCCACATATGCACTTCAGTCCTGGTCCCCTCTACTCCCTGGGTGGGTGGAAGAGAAGACTTCCTTGCAGTCTCAAGCTCTGAGATGGGACAGTGGGTGCTCCATAGGCCAAGGGTGACCTGCACTGGTGTCAGAGGAGGGTGGAGGATATTGTCATGGTTAAGAGCAGGGAGTGGGTTCCAATCTCAGCCCTGCCCCTTCCTGGCTAATAATCTTGCTTCTCAGCCTGCGGCCTTCTGTGAAACGGGGAATGATACTGCCTACCTCAGTGAAATATAAGGAAGAATGAACAGAGGCCTATATAGTGCTTAGCACACGGGTAATACCTGCACACAGGTGCTCAACAAACAGCATCCGTCATTATTAGGGGGTAGGTAAAAAGCAACCCAGGAACGTAAACAAAACATGCCGAGGTGTACACTGGGGCTGAAAGTCACCAAGATGGTCTAAGACAATGGCTTTCAACCCTGACTGCACATCAGAAGCAGCTAGGGAGCCTTTAAAATGCCAGTGCCAGCCTCTTTACACCCATGTAATCCTAATCAGTGAGGGGCAGGGCCCAGGCATTTTTTAAAGCTCCCTCAGAGGATTCTAATGGGTAGCCAGGGCTGAGAACCACTGTCCCCTGCCGAAGTTAAATAGAGTTGGAGACAAACAATAAGTTACAAACAAACCTGCTAATAGTCCATCAAAAGTACATCCCCAAGCTCAAGAATTAAACTTGGTTTTAGAATTGAAAAAAAAATGGCCTTAAAATTGGAAACTTATCTATTTTCCAATCCAGAATATCGCATGCTAATAAAATACATCATAATTACTAAATTCTCAGAAAGCAACCACTCTGGAAAAGTCATAACAAAGCTCAGATGTTTATTAAGAATTAAAAATACTGTAAATAAGCCATACAGTTCATTTCACAGTAAACTAAACAAACCTCTTTTTTCTTTTACTTTTTGGGGTTTTTAAAATTTTTTATTTATTTTTAATTTTTTTTATTTTTTGAAGGGCAAGACAGCCATTAAAGAACAATACAGCTCAAAGGGAAAGGGACACAGCAAACAATGACAGAAATGCAGTGCACACGCCCCTCACTGACAGATGGGGTCGGCTCTGACAGCAAGCCCCTTCATGGCCATTGTGTTCAAACAGAAGGAATTGGCCTGCATTCCCAGGGAGACACCCCATTCCTCTGTGGACAGCTCGCACCGCACATTTCTTGGAGACCCAGTGACTCCCCTTTCTGGGATTCTAAACCTACTCATTATTTGGTGACAGGCCTGCAGCCACTGGGGACTGGAGGGCACAAGGGGACTCTGTTGGTTGTTGTGCTTTCACATTCAGAACCATCTGGATTCTTTGCATAGTTACCTTTGATATCACACTAGATGATTCTGGAATGGAAAAGACACTCACACCACAGCAGACCACCAGAGACAGTCAAGTAGCTGATCCTTTTAAAACAAAGACTGAGGGGCTTTTCTCCCTCCTGATTCAGAGCTGGCATCTACGAGGTGTAACCAGTTTAAAGTGGAAGACAAGTGAGAGATATCTCATGAAGACTTCGGCCAGAAGCATAAAAAAGAAGTAAAATTAATTTTCCTTAATGACAATGAGAAAGAAAAGTGCCCCTCCCCCCACTTTACTTGAAATCTGCCAGCCAGGCAGGGTTTTTTGAGGTTAATCTGCTTCTGTTAATCCTCAGTTGAAGCCATTATCATTTTTCTCTGACACTACAGACATCTCTTCTAAAAGCCATCTCTTATTCAAAGGGGCTGGGCCTTCAGGAAACCAAAAAAGCAGAAGCAGAGGACTTAACAAACCAACGGTGTGGTAATAATTGTAAATAAATTAACTGGGCACAAAAACACAATGCCTTGGTGTTCAGGTGGCATCAACTGCTATTTAAGAGGGGACTAGAAATAGGGGGGTCACATGGGAGAAAACAATACATTTTTTTGGTCATGAGAAATTGGACCTTAAATCTGCACCCTACACACACAATTCATTTAGACCTTTTCATGAATCTTTTCAACTTTCACAAACAACCTATCCAGATCATTTCTCAGGTCATCTAGCAAACCCTTGGCTGATTCCAGGTTGTTCTCATTGGTTTCTATTTTGACCGAGTATGCAACCAAACTGTCCACGGCAGTCCTGAGCATTTTCAAGTCCGATTCCACTTGGCTTACTGAGGATTTCAGGTTGTCTAGAGAAGAAAGTCTGTCCAGGAAGTCCTGAGGCAGATGAGGGGCGTGGGCCTGGTCCTGACTGAGCAGTGTGCGCACCTGCTCCTGCACCTTCTGGAGCGACTCCACAGTGCTGGGGAGCTCACCCATGCTTCTCTTTAGCTCCTCCACGTCGCTATAGAGCGCCAGCTGGGCCTCCCCCAGGCTCTGCACCGTGCTGGCCAGGCCATCTTTGTCTGCCTCCAAGGGGGACCCCAGGCTTTCCAGACGCCCCTGCAAGGCAGCCAGGCGCTGCTCATACTCCTGGCTCTTGGACAGGAGGGATTCCAAGCTCTCGGTCTGGCGTGCAGAAGCCTCCTGCACAAAATGGACTCCATCCTCTACATTTTGGAGTCTGGAATCCAATCCCTGACTCTTTTCCTGGAGTGCTTCTAAGGCGGTGGAGTGTTTGAAGACTCCGTCCTCCCCCAGCCTGTGGGAATCGGCCTTCAGCTGGCGTAGCTCGTCCTCAAGTCTGCTGATCTCCCCAGGTAGGCGGGAGGTGGACTCCTCGGCCTGGAGAAGCTTCTCGGTGAGGGCCTGCAGGGCAAGACGCTCCGTGTCGGCCGCTTCCTTAAATGCCTGCTGCTCCTGCTTGAGGTTCACCAGCTCCCGGACCTCTGTGTAGACGTCGGACTCCATGGTCTGGAGGGTGCTTCTCAGGGCCTCAATATCCCTCTCTCTGGACTTGGCAGAAGTTTGTAGTTCCTTCACAACTTCCTCCAAGGCTTTCATATCCTGCTTGTACCCCTTGGATTCTTCCAGAGAGGCGACCTTAGCCTTCACATCGTTTATTTCCTTCTGGCTCCTCTTCTGGACTTCGGTGAAAATGGCAATGTTGTCATTGATAGACTTGGTGAGCTCCGTCAGCCTTTCCTCCACTGTGTTCTCCAGGGACGTGAAGTCCCGCTCCCGGGCATCCTTCACCACGTGGATCCCATCCGAGAGGTCTTTGAGAATCTCATTCTGGAGTTTCTGCAGAACTTCACTGATCCGGTTGATCTCACTCTCTCCTTGCTTCACAGTCTTCTCTGTGAGATCTTGTTTATGTTGAGAGCTTCTCAAGATGGACTCAAAAGTCCCAAATGTGGCTTGCAGGGATTGTACCTGTAACCAAAATCCAGATGTTAACTACTGCTTAGAGCTGATGAGTTTAATTCCATACGGTAGCTTCCAGGTCCCCTCTCTTCCAGAATGGCGCAATTCTCCTTTGGAGAACCATCCTTCCCACACAGTCCATGTGGTTCTGGGTTCCAACCCAAGGGCCCCCTCCAAGTGCTCCAGGGATGGTTTATAACCCAGGCTTGATCAATCAACACTTCCCATCCCCCTGCTCCCACCCAGAACCACAGAGATTAGTCCAGGGATGGGCATGTGGCCTCAGGCACACAAGCAAGGCAATTCCAGGACTTCTGTTAAAACCACCACAAAAGTAAACCTCTTTTTCCACTGGGATTCTAGCTACAGGACGAGGAAAGCCTGGAGCTGCTGAGACCAGCACATAAGGAATGCCAGTCTAAGAATCAAGCCAGCACAAAGGGAAGCAGAACTGAGAGACAGCAAGATCAAGTTCTGAAGACATAATTTGACTCCCTCGATATAGCTGCACCTGAAATAATCTACTCTTGAACTTTTTAGTTTGAGCCAATAGATTCTCTCTCTCTCTTTAAGCCACTTTGGGCTGGATTTCTAGCTTGTACAATTGAAAGAGTCTCCCAAGTTCTCATAGGAAAAAAGCTAAGGCACCTAGGAGACCCTGGGCTGGGAGACAAAGGCAGAGTCTCTGCTCACCACTTCTAGCTATGTGGCCCTAAACAAGCCATTGTCCTCTGTGAACCTGTGTCCTCACCCACAAAATGTGAGCAGTGGACCAGATGGCCCCTTAGCACTCTCTGGCTTTGTGAACACATTATGATCTTGTTTGCCAGTACATATTCATTCTAAATAAATTCTACCCTAAACAAGGTCTGATCCGGGAGCTACCCAGGGGAGCTGGTTTCATATACTAAGCAGCTGTAGGGTATGATGATTCTGGTTTTGATCCTGATGTGGCATATGGTCACACCTATAACACTTTGTCACAAATTTGAAAAAAAAAAAAGAAAAGAAAGAAAAAATGAACTGGACTCTATTAAGCCCCTCGTTCTAACCACCAATTCACAAAAAACATGCAAGAGAGAAACATGCCATGAGAATGCTACCAGCCAAATCCACAAAGTGGAAAATTCTACAGGACAAATGACCATGATCTTCAACAACTAAATGGCATTTTAAAAGGGGGAAAGACAGGAAACTATCATAGATTAAAAGAAATTTAACAAATTTTTCAATCAAATATAATGTGTGAATATGAATCCTAATTCAAACAAACCACTGTTAAAAAGACATTCTGGGGGCATACATATCAAGTAAATCTGATCATGGACTGGGTATTAGATAATATTCAAGAATTATTAACTTTGTTAGGTGTGATATGCTGTGTTTTGTTAAAAGCAACTAGGAAAGGAGAAGAAAGGGAATGAAAGAAAAGGAACCCTTATCGGTTAGTAACAAACCCTGAAACACTTTGGGTGAACCCATATGTCAGTCAGGGATTCATTTAAAAATGAGTTCCTAGCTCACCATCTCCTGGGCCTGCCAAGGCAACACGGACTCCTCAGAAGGCCTAGAACTGAACTGCCAACATTTCCTGAATGCCTGGACCCACTTGTGCCTGAGGAATCTTCTGGCTTCAAGACAGGCCAGCCTCTCTGGCCATTCAGAAGACCTAGGACATTTTCCAATACCAAGAGCATGTGGAGAACAACAGAGACCAAGTGGGCACCCAGTACGGTAGTAGGGTAGAGCGGTTAGAGTCAGACTCCTCTAACTCTAGCCAAAAAAACTAGGGAGGGGTGGAATGGTAATGGAATGAAACAAGAATGGCAAAACATTGATAATTATTGAAACTGGGGGTTGTTATACTATTCTCTTCTTTTGTTTATGCTTTAACATTACCATGATAAGAAGTTAAAAAATAAAATAGCATGGGCTCTGGAGCCAGGCTGCTTAGGTTCAAACCCTAGCTTGATACTTCCCCACTGTGTGATCTTGGGCAAGCTATTTAGCCTGTCTATGCCTTAATTCCTCAGTTGTAGAATGGGAACAAAATCAGTACCTGACTCATTGGATTGTCTTTGTGAGGATTCAGTGAATTAACATATGTAAAGTGCTTAAATTGTGTCTAGCACATAGTAAATGCTCAATGAATGATAGCTATTATCTTCATTATTGTTTCATCTCTAGTGTGAAGTACCTCAGAAGTCTGGAGATTCTAGCAGCATCCTCAGCCCAATGCCAAGGGATAGGAGGATAAACTGAAAATAGGAATGTGAACAGGACACCCGGGCTCTAGTTCCAGCCCAACCAATCACGAAGAAGTCACATTCACTTTGCAAGTCCCAGGTTCCTCATCCAGTAATAAATAGGTCTCTAAACTCCCTTCTAGCTCCATCAGTCTATGATCTTAAGACAGATTAGAATAAGGCTCTCTGGGACTCCAGAACACTAAACAATTTCCCTGCCCAACCAAATACAACCTGAGTCATAAAGAACACTTGGAGAAGGTACTGGAGAGAGCTCACCTCTGAAACTGGGTTATTAAGTCACAATATCTGCCTTTTCTAAGCATCACACTCACAAAAGAAGTGTGAGTAGGTGAGTACAGTACCTGCATCACGTCAGGCGTTGATCTCGTTTTTCTGAATGAATCAAAGAATGAATGAATTCACAGCAAAGTCTGATGAAGACTGAGCTGGTCCATTTCCCTTCTGATGCCTGTTACCCCTAATCTGGGCTGGCTTTTAAGAATGGCTAGGAAGGGGACTAGATCGGAAATTATGGATAAAACCAAACCAACCAACCCCCAACCCTAAAAGAAGAACTCAGTATTCCCTTCTGAGGGTGATGTGAGTCGTTCATCTTTGCATTCATAGAACTCCTTATAATCAATATGCATTGTATATATCTGTTCCTCCAGCATATGAGGGATGCCCACTAAGTGGCGGGTGCCGGGCATGATGCCAGAAATAAAATAATAGCAAAGACAGGATCCCTACCCTTTAAGTAGCTCATAACCTAGTGGAGGAAGCGGGGGAGAACGGGTGTGAGGTGATGACTGGCATTCAACAGGACACTTACTGTGTACCAATAACCATGCAAAGTACTTCAGAGACATTATCTCATTACACCTTCATAATAATCTTATGAGTTGGTGGCTCCCATTGATCTCCATTTTATAAATGAGAAAACTCAGAAAGTGATAGAGTTGAATATCAAAATCCCAGAATGTATGATTTCAGAACCTGAGCAATTAACCACTATGTGATATGCTCAGGCAAAGGCATGTTCAAAGTGTAGAGTGCCTGGAAGACAGGCTGCCAACACCCGGACCCCTGACTCCTTGTCCAGAGAATCAAGATGAGAAAACAAAGAAATACTATCTATGACGAGAGAACTCACTCTTCCACAAATAGCTCCTAGTCTCAAACTGTCCCTAGCAGGCCTAAGCCTACTCCTACAATTGCCTGATGTCACCCTGGATCTGCCAGGGCAACACAGACCCTTCAGAGGACCTAGAACTGAACTGCCAACATCTTCTGAAGCCCTGGATCCACTTGTGCCTGCTGCATCTTCTGGGTTAGGCAGGCCCGCCTCTCTGCCGGTGCTATGGCCATTCAGAAGATCTGAGCCATTTTCCAATACCAAGAGCATCTGAAATACAAGACAGCAGTTGGGCACCCAATTCCAACTTCAATCCCAGTTCTGCCACTTATGGTGTGTGTGTGTGACCTTGAATGAGTAACACAACCTGTCCTGACACAGCTGCCCTATCTGTGAAATTTTGCTAACAAGTGGACAGCTGAGAGAACAGAAATCGTGGCTATAAAGCACTTAATAGAATGCCTGGCACACAGTGTACACTAATTTTGAGTAATAATACTGTAACTACATTTCCCTGCTAAGAACCAAACCCCACCTCCCACCAAGTCTCACAAAGGGGTCCCAACTTGGGTTGTCAAGAACCAATGACAAAGGCATTCCGGCTGTCAGAGAACCAATCACTACTGACTCTTCAATTCAAAAGAACTCACTGGCCACCCCAGAGATGAAGACAGAAGTGGCCACACACGGTGGCTAATTCTAACACTATTCTGGGCATGTTCTGAGTTCCAAGTCTATGAAACAAACATTTATTGAGCACCTACTATGTACTAGGCTAGACATGGGAAAGATAACAAAATAAACAGCACTCTGGTTAGGAGTTAGACTGTAATTTGAAACCTAGCCCTGCCACTTACTATGTGTGTAGTATCCCTGTAGCTACTTAGCCTCTCATGCTCCACATCGGCAAAAGGGGGTTAATAATAGTACTTACCATCTTGGGGTTGTGAGAGTCAAAAGAGATGATGCATTTTCACATGCTTAGCACAGTACCTGGCACATAATAAGTGCACAATAATTATGAGGCATGAAATAATACTTTGATTACACTACTAAATTAAAAGAAAGGTGCTTACTATTTCTACAGTTGTAGAGCCATGAGGATTCTTAAAAATCTCAATGTACCCTCCTTTCATGGTGTGAATGAGATAACTGAGCCCCAAAGAGGAAAGAGCTATGTAGATCACAGCTGTGCACAGGGTGGGAACCAGAAAGGAGTGACTAGAGGAGAAACATGGAGGAAGCATACAGAATAAAGCCCAATTTCTCCAACTTGGATTCAAGACCTCCTTCATTCTGGCCTCAGCTTCTAACCTCCCCTCTCACCATTTCCTAAAGGAAACATTACTCTGCCACCGGCAGGAAAGCCACCTCCTATCCCTCAAGCATACTCAGGACAGTCCCCCTGCCTGTGTGTTCTTCACATTCTCACTATGTATTGATCACCAACTAGATGGCTGGTACTTCTCCCGCCAACAGGATACAGGCCTAGGGAAATCCCACACCCTCCCTCTTCTGAACCTGCATAGGAGTTACCCTCAACTGACACCATCTTATGTGCTGCTTCACAAGTATGACTTGTGTCATTTGCTCCTTCGTACCCTCCACGGGGCCTACGCAGAGCCATGTGACTATCAGTCTTCGATAAATATTATGATTGATTAGTAAGTAGGTGGATGAAACAGAGGAAACAGAGGCTGATTATACTCCAGCAGTATGTCTATTTTTTAAGAATGGTTTGACATTCAGGAGAGGCAAAGCAGCACTACCTACTTAATTCCCTTAGAAAAGTCACCTCCCTTGGCCTGCAGCATTTAGCAGGCTGACTCATTCCAGTGGCTCTGCCAGTCTTAAGTAGAAATTCCTAGTCCTGCACACTCAACCAAAGTAGGGAGAAACTTGGCAGTACAGGCAGCATGCTGGGAAAAGGAAGCAGGTTCTGGGCTCAGAAGTGGCGGGATTTTTTGTTTCGGTCCTGCAACCAACTTTCATTGAGCAATGACGTTAGTGGAGGACAGAGGAGCGGGAAGAGGTTGCACTTAGTCTGGAAAAACCACAGAAGGGCAGAAGCTTACTAACTTTGCTGTGAGAGTTGGGTCCATCCGTACCTGAAATAGGCCCCTGTGGACTCTTGACTGGGCAGTGCCCTAGCCATTCCCATGCAGTCTGCCACTCACCAGCTGGAGTCTTTGCCAATTTACTTAATCTCTCTAAACCTCAATTTTCTGGCCTGGAAAATGGGGTCAAAACCGTTAGTTCCCCCTCCCTCCCAGGTTTGCTATAAGAATAAAATAATATGTGAATAAGCCCTCTAAACACCATATAAATGTGTCTAGAAGTAACACTCACCGGTGTGACCTAGTGTTTTTGGCCTTTCCTTCCTATAAAGCTGAAGTAACATTACTTCAAAGGCCCCCATAGACACAGTGGCCCAATAAAGGACAAGGGGCCTGAAGATAGATACTATTTCACTCGAACTTGAATAAGAACACTAGCTTTTCCTTTCCCAAGCTCCAGCTCTACTAAAACCTGGCTCCGATGTCTCCCACGAGCAGAGCTGAGGTGCGGCCTTGCCCGAGGCTTCCAGGGATGCCCTGGCTTCCCTTCCAACCTCCTTTTCAGACAACTCTGCCCATTCAGCGGTTCCTAATCCAAAAAGAATAGGCTCCCCGGAGCCTGCCGCCTTCCTTACAGGTCACCGCTAATGTCCTGTGACAGGCCCTTGGCCCACCCTCTCGGGCTGGCTTGGCCATCCTCGCAGCGGTCCATCCCTCGGGGCCAGTCCTCCGCGGCCATTAACAAAGACGGTCTGGGGACTACCTCGGAAGTAGGGGGCCGGGGGGGGGGGGGGGC